AATCAGAACTATCAATGCTGTTATCGTGCTATGAAATCGCTCGAGACATATTGGGCAGGCGTCAAATACATCCTTACCGTCCTGGACCAGAAGGCCAAGGGAGTTGGCGACCCATTGCTTTACACAAGAGAGGAAATGGAAAGCGCCTTAGAAGCACCCAGGCCAGAACCCTCCTTTACGAGCCCGGGTTGGAGACGTAAACTGAGCTGGGGAACTTATCTGACAACGCAAAATATAGATGTGGATGCCGTGAAGGTCTCAGCTGCAATACGAAAGGGGGCCAGGACTCCTATACCAGGGTCTCCTATGAACAGCAATCAAGGTAGGCTGGCGCCAACCTGACTTGGAAAGTACTGACGCGTTGTTAGCGATCGGCTGGTCACTCACAGGCACGATGAACTCTCCCTCCACGAACGTGGCCGTGATGTACACTTCAGAGAATGGCAAGGCTCGCGATGGCAAACCATTGCAGCCGAAGCCGATACTCGCGGCAAATGGCCGACCACCGTTTACATCCATTTTATCGAACGATGCTACCAAGTTCGAACCGGCTCCAATGAGCCATTCTGCACCGTTCCTTTCCTTTGACTCGAGCGCAATGCCGCCGCCGCCGCCAACCAACAACATCAACACAGCTTCAGCATCAGACCCTGTCCTGGTCTCAGATGCCGATCTGCTCCTTAATCTACATTCTCCATATTCAACTTCTTCGCCTAACAATTCCCGCCTTCCCTCGCAACCTACATCCTTCGCTCAGAATTCCATGTCTGCACCGTCGAACAACACACTATCGCCTCAACAACAGCAGGCCACTCAGGTGCCGTTCTCGCCAAATTTTGCGACGTTTCATACACCAACGGACCAGACGTTCGGTGACATGGTCATCGACTCGCAAGAGGTGGACATGTCTGTGCTCGGCGCCGACATGATGCCGTGGGATCTTGAATATCTACCTCATGATATGTTATATTTCGGTGATAGCGGGTTTGGCTTGGGCCTGCCTGATGATCTAGCCACCGAAGCGACTGAAGGACGATGACTTTAAGTTCATTGTGTATACTTTTCTTCTTGCACTTAGGCGACACTGGAGTTCCGGGATATGTGGAATGGGACGGCTTCTGGACTTACGCATAAAGATACCTCTTTGTCTCGCGGCGGGTTTAGCCGGGAATTCGTATGTGTACAATCAAGAGGGTTGCTTTGCGACTTGCAATGTATCAATTCGATTTTGCTACTCATTTCTCAAATCCACCCATTGTGCCGTGACTGTTCGCGAGCTTCTACAAGCCGCGGCAAAACGCAGTACAGGTACTCTATAAGGTGCCAGAATATAAAGATTCCAAACAGATCAAATTTGATACCTCGCGCGCTCGGGCAAGCCGCGGCTTTCAAACAGATCAAAAGTCATAGATTTTCTCGTGCGAGTAACACTCTCCTATTGAGCAAGTAAGCCATTGGAAATGTCATCCGACTGATGCATGCGTAGCATGAAAAAGCGTCGATTGCCGAGACGGCGTATGCACAAGTTGCAGACCCATACACGCCCTGCGTACGGGGTATAAAAACGTTTGTCGTAATGGCTGCGAACGAAGTTTCCGAGTCGCTGACCCCTTCTCTTGTCCAACGAAAACAGTCCCCGAAGCTATGTCGGACGACCCCGGCCAGAAGTGCAAGAGCTTCGGTTCGTACCTAGTCCGGCCTATGTGTGATTGTAATTTGGCTCTGCTGACATCACGGGCTTGAACTACGTCCCTGCCATACATACATCACGATACTTACTCAGCGATTGATCACTCCAAGGCCGATCTCATGGGCAAGTACATCTTCGTCACGGGAGCCTCCAGCATTGGCAAGGCAGCAGTCATCAGCTTCGCCAAAGCTGGAGCATCCAGGGGGTGTGGTGACCGAATTGGCGTCGCGTTTGCCCCGGATGTATCATGAGGGGTTGATCGATACGGCGGAGATGGCGGCTGATTCTTTGGTTTGGTTGGCGGGGGAGAGGAGGGCGTAGCAGGCTGGGAGGTATGTCAGTTCGAATTGGGATGTGGATGAACTTGAAGGCAGGAGGGACAAGATTCTGAAGGAGGACTTGTTGAAGGTAAAGATGGCGGTGAACCCGTTTCCTGATGTGTGATGTAGCGTTGGTGGTGGTTATGGTGAGATGTAAATGTAGCGGGATCGTGGGTTGCTTCTCCTCTCCTGTTGATAAGTCGGGATCCCGGAGGAGTGGAAAAGACGAAAGCGTTTCTTCTTTCCTGTTCATGCATCGGCCGCTGCTAAGTGAACAATTTACGAAGACTGAGAAGCGGTGGCAGAGAAGAAGGCTTGATTTCATACAAAACAATGAAGGTAATATAAACTAGAATGACGTACGCCGAGCAGAATGCTAAACTGCGATAAAAGCAACCCGTAGGGATAAACCCCACAATGCTAAATTCATCTGGTACCCTGGTGTATCCTTACTCATTTCACGTCGCTTGGACAAGACGGTGGGCTCGCTACAGGGCAACCTGTGGGTGGGGGCGGTGACATCCAGAGCCATGGTAAGCGCGACCCGTGGCTGGGGGTGTAAGACGCCCGAAGCCATGGATGGCCGAGGGCTGCTTCGAGCGACACCTCATCTTATATCACCTCTTTCCGCGGGTCGGTTGCGGGAGCGTCAGGCGTCTATCGACGCGCGATATAGGCTGCCGCGATGCGACGAGTGCAAGCTCGGCCTGGAGCGAAACGGGTGTAAAACGGTGGATCCAGTTCTTGGTATAGTCAAATGATGTTTCAAAACTTCCGGTGAGCCATATCAGGATACGAAAGCCGCAGAGTCTTCATATCCTTGGGTGGTACCGGGGGCGGCTTCTCGTCGCGCCACTGTTCCACGTCATAAACAGAATCTCTGGTGCTCTTGAAAGTGCCAGCTGTAACGGTACCCAAGGTGATGAACATCTCCTTGACCTGCAGCAACCCACCTCTCTTGCTACTCCAGGGGGTGGATGGCTTGTCGCTCTGCTCTGACATTTTCAAGGCGTGCCTCGTGCGAACGCGTTGGGCTCTGGATAGGAGCGGGCGGAGAGTGGGCATCGAGGCGCAGATGATTCCCACGTTGACTTCGATGACGCTCCAAACGTTGACGCCGAGCGAGTCGTAGTACGGGTCCATGGAGTTGAGCGAAACGATGAGGAAGTGAAAGCGGATGACAGCGCAGATGGTGCTGAATGCACCGAGGCCAAAGACGGCGTAGACGGCGAATTTCTCACGCGTAGGGCGGGGAATGGAGAAGATGAGCTTATATGGAAGCAGTAAGATCCACACATCCATTAGTATATGGAAGGCGGACGTGACTGAAAGCATCAGTAATAGGACTCAGTGTGTGGAGGTATGAAACGCACTATAGTAGAAGACCGCTGTATTAATGCAGTGTCCGGGAACAGTGCCACTGAAATCCCATGCCTTTCGCAGCGGGATACACTCCAGAGGTACGATGATGATAACGATGGCCTGGTACGTGAAGAGAAGATAGATGCTTCCCTTGCAAAGCCATTCGAAGGTCTTGGTCACGGCTAGAGGATGTTAGTCGCGCCAGCGGCTGTAGGTATCCGACGTACATAAGCGGAGGTATATCATTAGTATAGAGGCCTTGATCAAGGTTACAATAGACTTGTACACCACAATCGCAGAAAGTCCCAGCTACACGGTATGAGCTACGTTGAGGCCAGAGCAGCGTCAAAAGAAACATACCTTTGAGCCTGCCACAGCTTGTTCCATTGACAAAGACATGCCACTGTAGCCCAACTTGAACTCCTTCACGGCGACAAGCAGTTGAATCGCGAAGGTTATTGTGAGTATCTACAATAAACTTCTGTCAGTCTTGGGTAACTACATAGGAGTCGTAGTCTTACCGCTGCCGCGATCATCGTCCAATCTTCCTTGCCCATATTCCGGACGATAAGGGCGCGTGTGTAGATGCGTAGAGCAATACATGCTACTGTAGACTGTTAGTGGATGCAGCGCGACGGCTCCGGTGGTCAACGCACTCCCAAAGATGGTCATTGTGATAATAGCCCCGGCGGCGACATTCTGTCGCGCCTTCTCATCACCACTTGGGTACATCATCAGCGCAAAGGTACTGTTCGACATGGCGACAACCAGTGTGCATCTCAGCAGGGTGCAACGCGGGAGGAGGTGCCATCGCCCACACTATCTATATCGATAGCGCTCATGACGCTGGACCTCCCGCTCGAACCTTAATTAGGTTCACCCGTGAAACGAGTCGTGGCCAGTTCGCATGCCCCCTGGTAATCACAAACACAAAGTCCATCAGCTGCAGGTGACAGAGACAGGCTATGGCCAGAGAACCCGGGCATTGCGCCAAGCAAGGACACCCTGCCATTTCAGGTACGTATTCAAAACATGCTACAGAGATTTGAACTCCATACGCAAATCATAAGCGAAGTTGTGGGCGCGCATCGCACAATTCGATCAGCCAGCCGATTGACTGGCGGGACAGCAGCGCGGAAGGGCATCGTGGTCGTGTTTTTCAAGATGAAATCTTTGGAGAGAACTGCGCAACTGTCAAATTGTCATGAATAATGACATCTGTAGTGTGTGCAGGGGCTCAGGAGATGCGCTTCTACGTCGATGCGTGGAGTGTAGGAGGTAGGTTTCAGACGCGCCATAGTGTTCTGCGGCAGCCAGATCGATCGTGACGTAAGTTAAAGAACCATGTGAGACAGGAACCGACGGGTGCAAAAGACTACGTCGTGGAGACCGAGCGATGTTTCGCCATGCCACATGGCGGGGCATCTATGGATGGGGTGCAGCCAGGTGTTGCAATGTGAGGTGCGGGCAACCACGTGCACATCTCGCACCCGTGGACCGCAAGGCCCTTTCCGCTCCACATTATGTATTACGTACGCTGCATCAAAACGCGTTCCTCACGACAAAAATACTGATGTGCGTGTTTGCTGACACTACTACATCCATCCGTCAGATAGGCAAAAAGGAAATGCTCCCTGCCAGATTCGAACTGGCGACCTTCGGATATCTGCTGCTGAGAACAGTCATAGGCAAGATAAGCTATGAGACCGACGTGATAACCGACTACACCAAGGAAGCTGTTGTCTTCATGTAATTTTTCTGAGCAAGTCGCTTTATATAGCAGCTAAATGCCTATGCGGTCGTTTGCAAAAGGCAGAACCAGTATGACGACGCACTGTAGTATGGAGGGGGGGGCGCTAAACAGATGTTGAGCATTCTGTTTTTCAAGTGGGGGCACCTGCATGTGGAGCGCCGTGAAGAACCGTCGGCATGCGGAGGCGCAGCGCAGATGCAGAACTTCAATCGTCCTGACTTGCAAAATCCCTGAGCACAGTATTGCAGCAAACGTGAAACTTATAAGAAGAAGCAAAAAGAATCGCAGCGGTTATTATAGTCCATTGGGAGAAGTTTGTGACTGGACTGCGCCCCGGGTGGGATGCGAATCGATGAAGGCTACTGAAAAATAGCCCTAACGCCTCCTTCAACAAAACAAAACACACACATCTCTGGCAAATATCGGTAATGTCGTTTTTGTCAATCGACATGTCGGAAGCTCGCGCGTTGTTTCAAAAGAGGATGGAGCACGCATCGGCGGGGTCGTACATGAACCCACCACATCTGCGCTCGCCATCCAACACGGTTATCTCACAATGCACCCAATGGCCATCAAGCGTCGTGCATTTGCCATTTGCAGCCATGAGCTACAGCTGTGCGCCCCCATTAGGTAGACCTATTGTTAGATCAACGCGAGATCATGATCTTTAGCCGCGACGCTAGCCGCCCAGGTTGTCAAACGGTCCGTCCTTTGGGAAGATACAAACAGGACACGACGCCTAGACCTTCGTGCATCGATCTTCAGCTTCAATCACCCACCTATTACGAGGTCGATTGATGCGTTATTGACGCGTCAAGCGTCACCTGCCACCATGGAGCATCATTCGGGGAGCTTCGTCGTCGAACGTCTTACTCTGTTCAATATATTCGCCACAGCTCTGACGTATTTCGCGATCACCCTCGCTATCGGCTTTTTGCGCGCGCCCAAGTATCCCGATTCTTTGCCTTGGGTTGGCCACGGCAAATCTTGGGCAGTTGCCTTGAAAAACACCTTCGATGGCTTCTCCAAAAGCCGCGACTGGCTGCAAGAAGGTTATCAGAAATACTCCAAACAGGGCCGCGCCTTCGTAATCCCATCGATGCTCGGGCTGCCTATCGAAGTTTCAATACCTCGGTCGCAGATGCAGTGGATGTTGGACCAACCTGACCATGTACTGAGTACAAGGTCGGCGCACTACGACACTTTGAATGGCGATTATGCTTTCGTTTCACCAGCGATCTTGAAGGACCCATATCACGAGCATATCTTACATAAAAACCTAGCACGTAATCTGAACGCTATCATACCAGAGCTCGTCGATGAAGTCAGCATCGATGTCGCAGACGTGTGCGGTGCTGATACTGAGCAGTTCGAGAAGGTCAATCTCATGGAGGGGTTTCTTATGAATATCATCCCAAAGATTACCAATCGCATGTTGGTAGGGGAATCAGTATGCAGGAACCCGGATTTTCTCAAGAACATGATGGGCTTCACCACCGATGTTGTGCTTGGTCTCATCCTCTTTCCCATGTTACCACGGGCATTGCACCCTATTATTGGCCCTATCTACAGTCTAGGTGCCAAGTATCATTACTGGCGGACACGCAAATACACATTGCCGATCATCAAGAAGAGACTGGAAGACTTCCGAAAAAAGGATGCCGGTGATCCAACATACGCCGAGTGGAAAGCGCCGAACGATTTCATCACATGGACCATTCGCACAGCCATGGATGAAGGAAGAAATGACGAACTTCAACCAAGTCGCATTGCGATACGTATCTGCCCTCTCAATTTTGCGAGCATCCACACGACAGCCATAACAGCACACAGTGCGCTCATCGATATCTTGAGTGCGGACCCAAGCGTTGTGGAAGCATTGCGCGAAGAAGCTACTCGGATCTACAACGAAGACGGTAAGCAGTGGACAAAGAACGGTTTGTCACGTATGTACAAGCTTGATTCGGCAATTCGCGAATCCCAACGGCATTCTACCATGGCTATGAGCCTCATAAGCAAGAAGGTCATCGCAAAAGAGGGTATCACAAGCCCAGAGGGCATCCACTATCCGTATGGATGCCTTCTGTCGTGCGCTTGGCTTCCGGTCGCTCATGACGATGAGTTGTACGGGAAAGAAGATGCGTACGATGCTTTCCGCTTTTCGAGAGATCGAGAACAATTTGAATCCATGAGCGAGAATGAGAAGGTCAACGTGGATGTGCTAAAGTTAAGGCAAAGTGGCATGGTTACCACTAGTCCCGCGCATCAAGCCTTTGGACACGGAAGGCACGCCTGGTAAGTCCAGAAGGGCATGCAATTTTTTGAAAGCTTTGCCTAACAACTGTGCTAGTCCCGGTCGTTTCTTTGTCGCGCACGAGCTCAAGATCATGTTTGCACATCTATTCATGAATTACGAACTAAAGCCGATCACGGAAAGACCGGTCACGAACTGGGTGGGAAGGACTTCTATCCCTCCCAAGGTTGATATCGAAATTCGCAAACGCAAGATGCAGTGAAGAAGCATGTGAATCTGAGTAGCGTTTTCATTGGGTACGGATGCTCCAGATACAACTTCGGGTTTATGACACTGTTATACCACTAAATTATGTACATTGGTCAAGCCGCATACATCCTCACCAATAGCTTGGACCCAATCGGAAGTTACTTTAGTTTCGTACGAGTCTGACGGGTCGGTCTTCCTGTTGATGGCAGACCCAACGCAATGCCTGGGGCTGTGGCGAATGTTCCATTCCGAAATTGTACCCCCGCTACGTATGTTGCTTCAATGAAGTCGAGCAGATGAATACATCGACGAGTATGAAGCCGTTTACCACATAATGACGCAATTTATACGCACAGAGGATATCTCGCAAAGTCGAGGTTGCACTAAGGAAGACCACCAGAGACCTTTCCTCATCACATACTCACTAGAATAGCTTTTTAACTACGGCACCGTGCATACCCGGTGTCCAATCCAGAGGTTCCTTCCGCGATACGGAAGACCATCATGTGGATCGTGGCGTTGCCGGCAGTGTGGAACCAAAACCCACTTCGAAGGCATTAGGTGCGTAAACCAAACACGCCGCCAACGAGGCCGGAAAGTTCCGGTACCGTCGTCATTGCTCTGCGAAGTTCTTAATGGTGTTGAGTCCCGCTACGCGCGATGCTCTCGCGCCGTGGTGATTGTTTCCATTCCAGCCATGTTCCATCTCGCACCCACATACACAAATCCTGTGCGGCGCACCAAAACTTCCCAGCGTTTCCAACTCGGAACGAATCGTAGCCTGCCACCACCCCTCGAAGCGGACGAGAAATCTTATCTCGTTGAGCTTTCCGGTGAAGATGACCCCGCCAATGCGAAGAACTGGAGATTCAGCCATAAGATGATTGCCGCGCTGATCCTAGGATTTGACACCTTGGTAGCCAGTTGGGGAAGCAGTGTCTACTCGGCAGCTGTAACGCCGGTGGCTCTGGAGTTTGGTGTTGGCTCTGTGATATCTTTGCTGGGGTTGACGTTGTATATCTGCGGATTTGCAACGGGCCCGCTGGCGTTTGGTCCGTTGAGTGAGTTTTACGGACGTAAGATCCCTATCACGGTTGCGGCTTTCATATTTGTAGGTGGCACTACGTTTCATTTTCGTGAAAATCTGCTCACTAGCACTATAGACTTGCTTCATGTTTGCTTGCGCCACAGCAAAAGATTTCCAAACCCTCATGTTATGCCGCTTCTTTGCTGGCGTGTTCGCATCCTGCCCACTTGTTGTCGTGGGAGGCGCCTTTTCTGATATATTTGGCAATGAGACGCGTGGTATTGCAATCGCCTGTTTCTCTGCCTTAGTCTTTATCGGACCCTTCATATCTCCTATTGCTGCGGCGTTCATCACTGAGAGCCATCTTGGCTGGCGTTGGACTCAAGTAGGTCTAGGCCACAGGGAACGTCAATGTGGCATCACTCGCTAACCGTATATGCAGTACATTACAAGCATAATGGGCGGCTTTGCAACCGTTCTGGACGTTTTGTTTCTCGAAGAAACCTATCAAAAAACGATACTCAGGAAGCGGGCCCAATTCATCCGGTCTGAGACGCAAAATTGGGCTATTCATCATGTGTCGGAGGAAGAAAACATCGACTTCAAAGAATTAGTGAACAAACATCTTGCATTGCCACTGAAGCTACTGTTTCTTGAGCCGATCGTCTTCCTCATAACTTTATACACGTCGGTAGGTGCAGTCTTCTGATTTACCTACCAACCACATCGCCGCTAACACAAAGCAGTTCATCTATGGCATTCTCTATCTCTTTCTTGAAGCCTATCCGATCGTGTTCGCTGAATACCGCGGCATATCGCCTTCCATTTCGACGCTCATGTACATCGGTCTCATTATTGGCGTCCTATTGGGATGCGCCATTGTCATCGCCTTCGAGCCACGCTACAACCGCAAACTTAAAGAGAACAATGGCATCCCAGTTCCCGAGCAGCGTCTATTGCCCATGATGGTTGGTGCTATTCTCTTCCCAATTGGGCTCTTTTGGTTCGCATGGACGGGCAATTATTCCAGCATCAGCTGGGCTGCGCTAGCTGTGTCCGGCATCTTGTCCGGTGCGGGAATCTTGAACATCTTCCTGCAGGCGCTCAACTACCTTGTCGATGCATATCTCATGGTTTCCGCGAGCAGTATTGCAGCAGACACATTCCTGCGGAGTCTCTTTGGAGCTGGATTCCCTTTATTTGCAACCCAGATGTTCCACAAGCTAGGTGTTGATTGGGCCGGTTCTCTGCTTGGATTTTTGGCTGTAGCTTTCATGCCGATACCCTTCCTCTTCTACATTTTTGGTGCGCGCTTACGGAAGATGAGCTCATGTGCCCCAACTGATTTCGGTGCACCAAAAAAAGCGGATGAAGAGGCTCAAGATTCCGACAAGACCCAATAGATCAAAGAAATTGCTTGGGCTTTTTACGCATGGCCAGGGTTAGAAATGTTC